CGTGAGTGTATTGACATGAATCGATATGTGTAATATGAATGATATATTATACAGAGTGTTCATCATATTTGTCTTACAAATCGGCCTCCCATATCTAGCAGCTATACTACATACAGCATATACCTACCTACTTCCTAGCTATATATTTAAGTAAAGGACTAAGTATAGTATTATAGTATATTCTATGGTAATCTACTACTATACGCCTATACTTATAGTGACCATAATATTCAACTTTTGAAAATATTATATACGTAATCCTTGTATGTAAATTGGACATTTCGTATATTTTTTTAAGATGTAAAGGCACTTAAAATCACAATAAATTATTGACCCATCAACATAATATAAGTTAAGGCGTATAATTAATTTATGGAATTCAAAATTATTAATTGGAAAAAAAATTGAGAAAAACGTGTTGAGGCACTCTTTATAGAGTGCTGTACTTGCACTACACGTCGCTAGGAGATTATTCACAGGAAATCAACATAATATGTGTACAAATGCACAATATAGGTGTAGATACGTACTGTTGTAGTCACAGTCAACCCATTGTACGTACGCATCGTTTAAATTTTTCATTAGCCTATAGCCTAACGGTAACTGGTTACTGGTTACTGGTTACCTATTACTCGTTACTATTTTCGCCAATTATTTCGATACTATATATGTAGTCTTAATAGTAACTAATTACCTAACGCGTCGCAAACCATCGGGATTAACACTCGATGCGATATTCGTGACGACGACTTCGAATCCAATAAAGTCTTGATGTTGTTGTTGTCCTTCTTATTCACCTTTCCCTATAAAATGCAATTTATGAGGCGATGATGGCCACCCTCGTCTCACAGCTCCGAATTGTATTAAAAGTAAATATATTACAATAATACTAGCTGATCCCGCGCACTCCGTTGCCAGTTAAATATATCGACTCTATATGATTCAGCCTTTGTTCAATTCGTTGTTTAACATTCGGTGTACGGCGTTCAAAATTTATCTTAACTTTTCCGTTGACCTGAATAAAAATTCTGATTCGCAGCAGTACATTATCAGGTAGGCAATCTACCTGTCGTGCTGTTTGTACGTAACTTTATAGTTCGAAGTTATACCAATAGGCAATAGTTTGTCGTTTTTACTTAATTCCCACCTACGGTAGATTGATATAATCAATTCACACGAAATCCTATCCTAACCTAACCGTACCAAAATCCGACGAATAAACACTAATTTCTACTGTTGACTGTAACCAATGGCGACTATTAATAAATAAAAATAAAATTTCCAATTTTCATATGTGAACCTCAATGTCCCTGTTTGAGCACCTGTTGTAAATGCGAATTTCGGAAAATCCTTTCTTATTGCACAGTGAAAATATGAGAAGAACCTATGTTCCAAATTTCCAAATTGCGTAGTTTTTGAGTTACAGCGATCAGTGACTAAGTGGTATTTAGATTTGATATGTATTGATATTTGTACAATAGCCGAGTAGGGGGCGTCATCCTTCCAGGTTTTGTATGTTCAATAAGCACGTCACATACACATAATATATTAATATTAGATTATGATATCACTTAAAAGTACAAGAGTATCTATATATCAGGGGTCGGCAACTGGCGGACCGCGGTCCGGATCCGGACCGCGGAAGGCAAAACTATGGACCCTGTCAACACGTCATTGTACTTCATTATGTTATTTTCTGTAATAGTATTATTATTAATACAGACATTTATTTTATTTTATTTATCAAACTCAGATTATAGTTATATCATAATTCATTGAAAAATATTTTATCGGGCAGGTAATAATCGGTTTTATTACAATGTTATCGGCCGACGAATAAATATATTTAAAGGCGACATTGAACAAAAAAAATTCATTCACTTTCCCACAATATTTGAATGCAAAAATCATTCTGAAATTATAAACATCGAAACATTTTTAAGTTTTTTGTCAGATCTTATGAAGGAATTCGATGCTAGATTCAAAGACTTTTCTGAAATAGGAAAACTATCACAATTCTTAAAAACCCCTTACGATGTTCTCCCAGACGGAGAATGGACTGATATAGCTGAAAAATTATTTAATCTTTCAAAGTCAAAACTCCAAATGGAAATAATAGACCTACAGGAAGATGTTTCCTTGAAGCAATACAGAAGTGCGTCAACTGAAGAATTCTGGGCTAAAGATGCCATTGACAAGTATTCAAACTGTAAGCAACTGGCAATCAACTTGGCTACGATGTTTGGTTCGACATACATTTGTGAGGCATCGTTTTCAAAAATTAATTTTTTGAAAAACAAATATCGGACAAAATTAACAGACTCTCACCTTGAGGACACATTGCGTATAAGCTGTTCTCCACGAGTTCCCGATTTCAAAAAGCTGGCTAAGGAAAAGAAATGCAATTTTTCGCATTAAATAATTTACTGTAATAAATATATTTTTATTCATACTTTTAATATTGTAATTTTTAATATAAATTAATTGTAATAACTGAATAATTATTTTTATTTTTATACTGCTATTTTTAATATATAAAGATTTGAAAAAGATTTTTTTCACTGGACCTCATTGATTTATTATTTTAATCTTTAGGACTCCAATAGAATATAGTTGCCGACCCCTGCTATATATTATAGGTAGAATAACAAAACAAAAAATGATTTCGTAATATATATTTTGTCTTTATTATACAATCTAATTTTTATACACATTTCTACGAGATAAATCACATCACAGTAGCTGCTGATGAGGACATACCTAAATAATATTATACTTTTATTGTCTATATCGTTTTTATAATATAATATACTGTAGGATATATGCCTAAGTTGTCGAGCGAATTAAAATCTAAATGTATCAAACACACATCGTACACAAAAATTATAATAATAAGTAACAACAATATAATATTCAATTTTTTAATTACACACTATCTAAATCTATATATATATATATTTTTTAATATAATATATGTATGTAATAATACTATTGGAAGTGTCTTGTAAAGGAAAATAAAATAATTGACTAACTACGAGCAGTATACCTTCCTACTTTAAATACCTACTTATGGTCTAGGCGTATAAATAATTTAACTCATATACTATTATCATATATATATATAATTAACGTAAACCATCTATGACGGACAGTAAGTAATAGTTAAATATATTAAAACTAGATCACTTTCACTACAAAAAAAAAAAGATGGGCGACAATTAATAATAATGATAACACTAATAATGCTAATAATATTGTAAAAGTAATGTACAATTTTTTTTTACCGATTCATATTTTCTATGCAAATTATGATGCAGTATAAATACTATGTACAAAATGCAGTAATAAATTACACAGTATTGGTAATTAGTGTAGTTAATACATCACACAGATTTCCATACGTATTTACGTTACAAAATATCATTTATGATAAAAATAAATATATTTTAAAAGTGATGAAGACGTTCTAATAACATAGCAACTGAGCATCTTGGTTTATTCTATATATAGCACACCGATTAAGTCTGTAAAACAAAAACACAAATAATCAAAACATTGTAGGTAAAGCTGGTGTTAGCATTGTTGATTATTTATCATCAAAACGTTAGTTTGCCATAGTTCAGCTCTGTAGTTTAAAGTTTAACTGACAATTATTATAATTTTCCATTAAAGATCCTTGTACGCGTATTGCAAATAAACTTTTGGTAAACTTAAAATAGTATAGTTGTTCCTGGTGTCTTATCGCTTATATATATGTGGAAAACTGTTTTGTAAAACTCGAGCATATATTATAATGATGTAAACATTATGCACCTGCGTTATATATTTACCACGGGAACAAATAGGTAGGTACTGAAATTCCTACAAAAAATAATAATATAGCCCTGTTATTTCATATCTGTAATCTGTATATTATTACTCCTTTAATGGAAATATTCAGTGTGTAAACGCTAATTGAGAACACTCAATATCTTTGCGTAGGGCCCTGCAATTTGAATTATGATTTCTTGTTGGATGTAATAACATAAAAATACACATTTTTATAGCTTTTGAATTTTTTCGAACTTAATCAGACTTGCGCATGCGCAGTACAACTTTTTTTCTTAAATGGCAACCACCTATAGGTGATACATAAATAAATGTATCTATTGGAATTTATTAATAATTTGTTTTTCAGTCAGTTGATTGCATGTTGCTGTTATTATATCTTTAAATTATACATTAATATTGTAAGGCATACATTAAAGTATTAAACTATCAATAAATTCTAATAGATCCATTACAGGTCACATAATCGGCAACATATTTATTTATGTATCACATAAATAACACCTAAATAATTAGGAGTGAAAATGTTAGGCCTAAACCATCTTAGAATAATTATTTCTGTATAAGGCACAGTAAAATTCTAAAAATTCCACGTATTTTGATTGGCTGTAACTTGGTCAATTTTGGACTTAGAAAGTTGCAGGTTAAACCACCAAAATGCATTAAAAAATTAGGAAAAAAATAATTACTGGTTAAAATAGGTGGTTGCCATTTAAGAAAAAAAAAGTTGAACTGCTCGTCCGCAAGTCTAATTAAGTTAAAAAAATTCAAAGGTTATAAAAATGTGTATTTTTATGTTATAACAACGAACAAGAAATCAGAATTCAAATTGCAGGGCTCTACTCGATTACACAGCGTTTACACACTGTATAGCCTATATAATAGATTACAGCCTTGTGCCTCGTGCCACTACATTTTCGCCTATTTAGCTTCAGCGTTCGATCGTCTAACTTCATAGCTAACTCTTTTCGCGCTCCATTTCAGTAATATTTATCAGTCCGATTTTCCTATAGTGCGTGTAATATCGATAAGTCAGATTTCGTGATTTCTCCAATGATTCCTATGCCGCGGTGCTGCCCGTCATACTGCGAGAATTGATAATAAAATATCAAGTTCCCTGCACGGTGTTATAGATTTTTTTTTCTACCAGTCGTCGCGCACTCACCCGTTGTTCATAAATGCGTCACGATGATCTCGTCGTCGATGTCGTCCTTCTCGTCGTCGGTCTCGTTGACGGTCTCGTCGGGCAGCGGCTCCGACTTCGGGTCGTCGGCCAGCCGTTTGAGCCTCCTGGCCTTGACGCTGTGCCTGATTTCGACGATTATGTACCCGACGAACCCGACGAACAGCACGACGCCCATGACGTACAGCTTCTTCCGGGCGCACAGGTGGGTGCTGTAAGCGTACGCCACCACGAAGCCGGCCGACTCCCACAGCCGATAGTTGCTGAACGCCGCCTCCTTGTTGCGCCTGAACAGCGTCCCGTAGATACCTGCGAGCAGACGAAAATAATTTTCCTTCAAAAACAGTAATTTAAACCTGCTCTTTTTCTTATCACATAATGCTCATTATACTATAGGTATAGCGTGGATTTTTATGCACGAAAAAGTATTAAAATATGCCACGGCGTGATATGCAGTTAAAATAATGAAAATATGCAGTAAAAATCATGAAGATATGCAAAAAAGTATGTAAAATTGATGTTAGGTCATATTTTGAGTTTCTAGTTTTTGTATGACTAAAACTTTTTACTATTTACACGGCAAGAGCGATTAAGTTTACGTCGTAATCGATTATTTATTTTATCTGTATATAAATTATTATTAAGTGCCTATAAAATTTAGTTTCAATTATTCTGCTTGACAAAATATTATATTATGCATTCTTTTAAATTTTTGCTTCAACATGCAATAAAGTTTGAATTTTACCAAAATATGCAAAAATATGCAATAACATTTAAATATGCAGATATATGCAAAAAAAATTTCACTATTAGTTTCAAATTATGATGATTCGTGGAGATAACTGAAAAAAATCCAAAAATATGAAAAGGAAATAACTATGAAATTGCATAGAAATCCGAGCTCTAATTATAGGTCAAGACATTAGGGTAGGTATAATATCGGAGCATCCCAAACGGCGCATCTCCAGTCGAAAAAAGTTTTACGAACAGATAAATTCCCAAATGGCCGAGGGTATAATAATACCACGAGTATACCGATTAGAGGTCGATACCGCGGTTTACCGGTTATATAATTTTAATTTAAATTGGAAAAAAATATATATATAAATACACCTCAATAAAAAAACAAACGGAGGCTCATTGGAAGCATCATACACGAATTTTCATCGAATGAAATGGATTACATAAAACAATTGTGACTCTACGTATGATTCTTTATTTATTTAGATTGTAGGTATACCTATACAAACATTTTTTTCTATTTTTTAACGCTAAAATGTAATATTCTTTTAATAACGTTTAATTCACAATATATTATAATGATATATATAATTTTTTACAATTTACTTCGATTTACGATTTACGTAACCTCAAAAAAACACAAAGAGTTTTTAACCACTTCACCTCTTTTTAGACAGTCCTAAGTCAGAAGTCTGTATGAAGTGGGAAGGAATTTGTTATTTATACCAGAGTTATAACAACTTTAGTGAGATTCACTTTTATAACAGAAAAGATGCTGATCTCGAAGCACTTTTACTATACCAAAATGTTGCTGACAGACAGAAAAAAAACACACATCATTGTAAAATCAATATAGGTACATTCATTCGGTCCACTCAAAATCTAAAACAATATCTTTTATTGCCAAGCAAACTTCATATTGATTACTGCTATAGCAATATAATTTTTTATATTGGTATATTTAGGTAGGTACTAAAGCGTACTACATTGCAATGGACATTGACAATAAATGTAATAAATGTATCTACAATGCTGCGGTGGTTATTGTGGTTAATGGTTATACGGTATATATTATTGTATAATATGAAAGTTATCGGTAGTAGGTATATACATTGGTTTTTAATTTTTATACTTAATAAATATATGTCGGATTGCATGAAAAATTAGTTAATTTAATAATGAATTAAAATCTAATGGACCAATCACAGACCACTAAATTTCGTCTAAGTGACCATTAGCTAACTATTGAATTTATTATCTTAATTATTATATATTTATAGTTATTATTCATCGAATGATACAAGTGATTTTTATGCAACTCAGCATTTTCTTTTTATTATGATGTATGACTAATATTTTAACACAATATGTTTTATTTTTTCAAAACTATCCTTTTGAAATTATAGAAAATTAAATATTTTTAATTAAACAGAAATTCGAGCAAGTGCAATCCAAGCATAACCTTATATTGGTTATTGATTTTTCACTGTAAACATTATGTAACTATAATATACGTGAGTGATGACCACCCAATTTCTTCAGTATCTTATAGGTAAGTACTAAAGGTGACTTTTAACTTTGTTATTTACACGTGAATAATTATAGAAAGCTCGTGTTACCGGTTGATGTTTCTATTTATTTTGACTGCACACGATAAGGATAGCACGCATTTTTTTGATTTCCTTTTAACAATGATTGATAAGTGTTGCTTTAAAGCTATATAATTTTTTTTTGTTTCTGCTTACACTGCGGATGTAGCGTACAATTATTAAGATTACGATTTATATATTATATATTATTATACAATGCAAATGTACGACGTCCGCCGTAAGCAGTTAGGTATATGTAATAACTAATAAGTATCTATGCTTTATGCAGTACACGATAATCAACATACATTATCTATTAATCTATTATTATTATCATTTATCTATCAATTTGAACATGAAAATATATAAAGTTATTTATCTTTTGATTTAATTTACGCCCGTCATTTATAAAGCGTATAAGATCAATAACGATTTGAAGTTAATTACGTCAATTTTTTTTCTACTTCTTAATGTTATTTTAACATCTCATTTTATACCTAAGTGGCTAGGTATACCTGATAATTATATATATTTACGTCTACTATTTCGTCAAACGCTGTTGTGAAATATACGAATAAAAGTACCTATTTATACCTGACAATACCTATGTCAAATATTTCAATTTGGAAAATATTCATCGTTTGTAGTAGGTACCACCTGACGAGTAGTTAGGTATTAATTTACTTAAATATCACATAATGATATAAATTGCTTAATGTAATGTAATATATTATATTTTAAGCGGCCTGTATATTAAATAATAATATAATAATTATTCATATATTTGAAAGTTATATTTAAATATAATCATTACAGGGTGATAACTTTTAATATATAAATAATGTTTTTACTCAATTAATCATTTATTATGACATGGCAAACGATAGTGATTATTATTATTATTATCATCACATTATAAACCTACAACCATATTATTATAAACATACTGTAACAGTAATACAGTATACACAATACGTATTTAATATAATAAACTTTATTAAGGCTAATAAAATAAATATATAATTTCATTTTGGGTTAATCAGTGACGTGATCATAGGGTGGTGGATCTGAGTGTCAAATCACCGACTGATTGGTTTTTTTTTAACAGGATTTAGGGTTTTGAATACAAATAAAAATTTAAGTATTCATTATAAAATGTTATAAATAGTTTGTTATTTTAATATCTATTAATTGTCTAATAATTGATATTAATATATTATACTTGTGATGACGTGTTTTTTTCATTTTCCTTTCGTAGTCCTAAGCAGTAAGTTGATTGGAAAAAGTAACCAATAAATTGTATTTTTCTTTATAAGTATTTAAAGTTTAGAAAATGGTGCCTACATCACGATTTTTTTTTAATTCGAAATGGTTATTAAAACATATAAATTTAAAACATGTTCGTTTAATATCCGATATAGGTATTTTATACTTTGAATATGGCATTAAAAATACGAAATATTATTAAAAAAGAATGTAAAAAAACAACTTAAAAATGTACAGTTCACAGTTCACAAATCGGCCTATAATACTGCTATAATTATAGCCTCGCCTCGATTATATTTTGTCTCCTCTATTCCTCTGTCGTGATGTGGCATATAAAATATATATAAATTATTCGCACTCCCAATATCACAATTGATTTCTGCCTCGACGGCTATAATATTATATTTTACCTGCCTATATATTATGTTATTATGTGTATATATGTATACCTACATATACAGTATAAGCATACCAACATTCCTTCTGTACCGAAACTTATTGTTGATATCAAAATAGAAAATATTATTTGAAAAATCATCATATTATTATTGATAGTAAATTCTTCCAATATTATATTATGTGAAGAATATACAGCGTAGGGAGTCATACCTATATATTGTATTATATTGTTATTATTATTGTTGTTGTTGTTGTAGTGTTGTGATGAGATGATGAGCGCACTTTAAAAGACTCGGAGTGTAGTAATATATGTATATAATATAATGTACATGTGTGTGTGTGCTGGGTATGCCGTACGGGCGTGTCGTCAATGAATGGATTATGTGTTTTATTCCCCGCGCCGACGTATACCGCGGTAGTGGTTTTCGAGTGGTGGTCGGGGTGGGAGTTGACAATCGTCCAACCCCCACACTCTATTGGGTTGTTTTTTTTTTACACGGTTTTATTTATCGAGTGTATTTAAAACAAAAATCGTCTCTGATCACTTTGAACTCTGGACGTTTGATTAGATAATATATTACATTATATCCGGATAATGATTCTATAAACATCTGTACCGATCTGTTATTGTGTGCAGTGAAAGAATGCCAATCGGCTATCACGTATAGTTTTCAGGTTTTGCGCCGAGGTATAGAACTTTTGTAAGACTTGGAGCAGAAAAAATGTTCTTTAGTCTTACTAGTATAAGTATAACCGTATAAGGAGTCATCAATACGAAAAAAACAAATGTCGTTCTTAACACATTCCTGCGAGGAAAATTGAGGTATCATAGACAGGTTTTTGGGTATAGTGAAGTCGTAAAATATCTATTTGCATGCGATACCTATGCACGATGGTTTGGAATTAAATGAAATGAAATTTTTTTGTTTTTAATATTGATTTGTATTTTTATGGCAATAAACAAAGCGTTGCGAAAATCAGTTAAGACATCGGTCAGGATCTATGTTAAAACAAACTGTGAATAATTTATGTAATAATAACGTTATTTAGTGGCGTTATAATATAGGTGTATAAAAAATATAAGTAATACGTATATAAACGTGGACACGTAGAATAGTGGTGGTGTGGTACTGAAGCCAATGATTTTGACTGGTTTATACAATTGTCTACTACACTAAAGCAACATAATATTTTTATCATAATTCATAACATGTATTCGAATGATACGTTTTGATGAAATACTATCGTGTCGACGGACAGATGAACACAACAATACGCAATAATAGGTATAATAACATGCGTATGTATATAATA